TGTGCTTTTATAAATAAATAATATTTATTACTTAAAATAAATAATCGGACGTCGTTGACCTGAAAAAACAAAAACTAMACTTCCTCGGCAGCGTCTGGTCCCCGCCATCACCACACATATCCGAAAAATTACTCTGACACACATTTTTTCGATTTCCTTTCTTTTTCCTTTACGACGACGACGTAAGCACAGGGAATTGGAAACACTTATGAGGAGAAAAGAAAATTCTGGCTTCGTGCCATCAGTGTATAGAATAAGCGAACTGTCTATAATAATATAATATAGAAATATATGTATAATATTGTATATATAGTATACCTACGTATACTACCATCACTTTTCGATTTTTTTCACACGACTTTTACCCAGCTCACCTTAAATCCTAATATCTGCTGCACTACACTCTTCCTAGCTTTTTTCTTTTTCTGCYCGACCATTACGATATTGTTATAATTCATCATATTTTTGCCACACAATCAGCTGCAGATTTCAGGTGAGTTTCAAAATCCTGTTTTTCATTAAACGTGTCTACATTACCGACCGTAATGAATATTATTGTTTTGTAACCTATATAGAATTTCTGTTATATTTTATTTGTGTGTTTTTAGCTGTCCCATCACAGACCACTCTTTTTTTCCCCGTTTATTTCTACTCAACAATATTAATATCAMGTTTGTACATATTTCTCAGCAGTGAACATGTTAAAAATAATTTGTCCTCCCTCCAACACGCACCTCCRTAGTTTATCTACGTTAAATAGATATAATATAGTATTATGTTAAAAAAATAAATATCTATTCGATTTACCTGCGACGCCAATTTCGAATTGCCATCCATTTGTGTAGTATAAAATTGTTATATTAATGAACTTACATGCGTGTTGTAGAAAAAAGGGTAACACATAATAAAGTATTGAAAGGATCCTCACATGAACGGTAAACGTCGAAAATATTGTATAAAATATAATCATAAAAAGGAGGCAAAGGAGGGGCTGGCGTGGGATTAAAATTGTGTTGATTCATGCACGACGTATATTATGTAGGCTGTTGATGATGATGAAATTAGATTTTCCCGCAACAAAACTGTTTGGACAGCTACACATTATAATATGTTATTGTTAAAATAATTTTATTATTTGTAAACCGGAAAAACGTTCTTGGATGAACACTATATGACGGAAATGTCAAAAGGGGTCCATTAATTTAGGGTTTTTTTCGTACACCACTTCAACCGTATTAAACATATTTCAAATTGGTGGTAAAATTATTAAATAATAATTACAACAATAAAAATGTCGAGAATTATGTAAAAAAAACCCCTCCCGTCGTTTGAGTCTTTGAACTCCGAAATGGGTAGGCGTTAGGTAGGTATAAAATATAATTTTTGTGAATTAATGTTACAAATTGAAAGGGGTTTTGTGTGCAATGTGATTTTTCTTTCATAAAAAGGTTGAACGACACAGGTTGATTTTTTCAGGTTTGTTAATAAACTTGTACACAAAATAACTTTAATGAGACATTTATGATCTGTCATATTTGACAACAAATATTTTGGTTATAACAATTACATGCTGGTGTTGAAAGAACATAGAATAATGAAAATAAATAAAACTGGGTAAAAATATGCAATTCATTGGAAATACAATGATAAACTTCGTTCGAGGTAATTATGCCTCGTATTCCACTTCTTCCTTTACCTTCTTTTCGTCTCCTTTTTTGGACCAATCGGGTTTTTTCTGTTACAAAAAAAATAAGAAATATTGTTTAAAAATAATATATGATAAATGGTCTGTTTACCTAACACAATATTATTTAACAACATCAACAAAATAATATTATTATTACGTACTTCTTTGTCTTCTTCTTCCAAGGTGAACTCTTTTTTCTTCACTACTTTCAGTTGGTTTCTGAAGTTGAACTCCGCCGCTTTCTTTTGGAGTTTTGCGAATTTGTTTTCGTATTTGGAAACCTTCTTCAATGTTGGTTTGACGCTGAAAAAAAAATAAAATAAAAAAATTTAAAAAAATTGCATGAACAAAATATAATAACGTTCACTCGAACACTGCAGGTATTTTTTCAGTGTATATTTTATACTCACAATTTGCCTCGTAAGTCATTGACTTGACTGTTCAATTCGCTGATCTAAAATATCAAAAACATCGTTTAAAAATCGGATAGCATTCATTCGTCGGATAATGTTTTAGTCATTGTTAATAAATATATATTTTTTTTTCGCAAAAAATCTGATTAATTTCACGTAGCAAAATAATGCTGCAAGTGGAATATATTACTATGTTAAACGGTTGAAATTTCAAACAAAAATGGTTATCACCGTTAGGCGGTGGGAGTTTCAAATTTTATTGTTATTTGCTAAGTATTGTTATCTACTAGGTACTAGGTAGGCATTGAAATCACCACAAACATATTTTTCTTTAAATATATTGTAAACACATTTTATTACACAAATTATTTATTTGTTTTTTGTATTTCTTCAATCGGCTAGGACACGAGCCGTAATCTCAGCCGAAATATTATTATGAGGAATTATTGTACACAATAATGCAGATGTGAATGTTTTTGTCAGTACAATACTATTATCTCAGGTTATCGGGTCAAAAATATAATATTATAATTAAACTGCTGCACCGAGCAGTAATACAAGCTCGTTTATTTTTAGACCTAAAATTATTTGTCAATATATAGCGAATTTCTGGCGCTCGAGAAATAAAAAACACATGCAACGTCGATATTATGATTATCGTTATCGTTGTATTGTAGTCTTTGTTTTATGTTTGACCTACTGACGAAATAATTTCGTTATACTTCTGACAAAAACATATTTATAAAATACGGACGAGACCTATTTGATCTCTGCCGGCGTACCGCAGGCGAGCGCCATACACAATGAAGCTTAATTTAATTAAACCATATTATTCGAGTGTGTATGATTAAATAAAATCGGTATTATTATTATATTACTCTCCGAGTTAATTGCTTTGTTAGGGCGTATATGGTTCAAACATTGCGCGCTTTTCGGTTCATAAAACTCTCCTACCTATTATTATTATTATTATTATTGACTATTTGTGTTATAATAATATGACGAATCCAATGTAAAAAATTTTCACATAATATTGTAATTATTATTGAGCATCGCTCATTGGGACGAATGGTCAACACACCACACGTGTGGTTCAAATTCAGACTTAAATGGTCTGCACTGCCGGAGCTTTGGCACAGTGGTTATCAATCTCGAGGTCAATAATAATTTTTGTGTAGGTCACTAAAAACTTTAGTCACAAAAAATATTATTAATATAAATAGGTAATATGAGTAAAAAATAATAAATAAGCGAAGAGAAATAGTTTCAGTATATACTATATAGTCATGGCAATTGAAAAAGTGAAGAAATGGGTTGAAGAGTGGGTACCACACATTGAACATTGTTTTCAAAAAGGTCACATGAAAAATTGGGTAAATTTCTTGAGTTGCAAATATTGAGAACTACTGATCTAATTGCGTATAACACAATATAATACTATTATGATCGGAAAATATGAACAATTTAGTAGGCAGTGGTGTATTTTGGATGATGTCTCGGGGGGTGTCAACATTTATTGAACCTCACAAAAAAAATTTTTAGTATTATTTACTAATGTAAAAAGACATTGAATTAATTTTTTAACAAATTAATATGTTAG